TAGAATTACCTGCCATGTCTGTTAAAATGTGCTTTCCTGAGCCTTACACCAGAGAATCTCTATTTGGTAGGTGTTAAGTGTCAGATTTTGCATAAAATTGTAGCAGGTTCTTATTGCCCAAGGGGATAAAATTGGACTGAAATTCAGCTCATTCTCAGTTTGCCAAACCATACACTAGTGTGGGCCTGGCTTACCAAAAGGAAGGGACACCTTCAATTTATTTTAGTTTCACCTGCTTTCCAAGCATAGTGTCTGTGGGTATATATCCACAAGAGCAGTGAGGGTAGGGGAGAGTTTTTCTAATTTGCACAAAGGCTCTCTATGCCTTAGCATATTAGCCTAGGGCTTCCAAAAGGGAGATGACATACAGGGCTAGAGATACAGGAGATTACTTAGAGGAAACATGTGTGATGAAAAATATGAAGGAAGCCAAGAGAAGCAGAGGGAGACAGCAGTGTAGGTCTGACCCCTGTGAACAAGAGAGGAAGTCAAGGAAGGTTGGATGGAAATGCCTTAGACTATGTGTAGGTATAAGAAAATTTGGTAAAGCTGATAGGGAATCCTCTAGCCAAAGGCCTCCAGTAGAGGAGGCCTGCGTCTTACAGGACTGGGCCTGCCCTGACATCTCTACCATGCTCAGTCATGAGCTGGAAGGAGTTATGAGAAGTGTAGTCTCATGAAAAAATAGTAGATTTCAAGGTAATTATGCCTCTGAAGTTGGAAATCTACGAGATGCTTGTTCATGGCTTGCATACTGTAGTAGTGTCACACTGCTATGAAGAAATACCCAAGACTGGGTAATTTATAAAGGAAAAATGTTCACTTGTCTCACCGTTCTGCATTGCTGGGGAGGCCACAGGAATCTTACAATCATGGTAGAAGGCAAAGGAGAAGCAGGCCTTTGTAACAGTTCCCCACTTCCAAGGGATTCCAAACACCTGGTCCAGTAAATCACCCTTAGAGGAACACCTGCCTAAATTTTTTAAAAGAAAGATTTATTAACTATCCCTAAGGAAAAAGAAGGTCCAGACTCCTAAACACAAGGTCACACTCTTAGGAGCTGGTATTGGGGAATCTCCCCAATTCCTCGGTGATCAGCCTGTAGCCTAGAGCATGGTTATATTCTCAACAAATGACTCTGCCCTGTATTCTGCCACACGTGTTATAACAGGAATGAGCTGAGTAGAACAGGCACCCAGAGGATGGAAGTCAAATCTGCCTCAGGGACAGGGTCAAGGAAAGGGTCTCTGAAGGTGGGAAAAGCTTAGGTAAGGTATGGAGAGAAAGGTATGTCTAGGGGAATGGGGGGTAGTCTGCATGGCTGCATGGAAAGAATGTAAGATGGGGAGATAAGTTGGCTCCGTGCTTGGAGAAAACAGATTCAGTGGAATGTGAGTTTGGGAGACTGGAATTTAGGCATTATTGCCTGAAAATGTAAAAGTACCTGGGAGGACATTTCTGTAAGGTGGCACTGATTGCTGAGCCTCAGGCTGCAGGAGGCCGTGTGTTGTTCTGAGCAAGCCAGGTCAGAACAAAAAACGCAACCTTGGTGTCACCCAGAGAGCACCTTGTACACCCATTCCTGGGGAGAGGCACAGGGACCAAGAGAGGGAGGTAGTTGGAGAGCTGTCATTACCTTCCTAGCCCTGCCCAGGCTGGCCCTGGCTCCCAAAACACCATCTCAGCTCAAGAAGGGTCTCCTATAAAAAGCAAACAGGAGAACTATTTGATGGTGAACGATTTATGAAGATGCTCTCTTAGCACGCTTTGCTCAACAATGTCAATGAACCCGAATGGCTCAGTTGGTTTTCACATTGGCTCCCACGTGTTTACCTGGTCCCTGCTCAATTCAGCTCTCTCCCTTCCCCTACACCTCACCTCTTGCTGCTCATCCTTAGACAAAGACCAAAGTCTTTAACAAGACCCTTTCTTAACAGTCTAGCTTTTGCCATCTGTTGAGAGCAGATCTAAATAACTGGGTCATCCAGAATTAGGTTACATCCAGTATGTGAAGTGATGAGATCTCTAGGTCTCTTCCCCTGACAATCTTTATCCCTGTCCATGAATCAGTATTATCTGAGTTTCTGTTTAATCCATGACTCTCTCCTCACTAGACTGGTAGGACCATGGAAACAGGAACCAAGTCTGTATGCTCATTTGTAAATACCCAGGATCTTAGATGGTCTTATTCAAACAAGTGCCGGTAATTTGTTTCCTGAGTGTTTTAACTGTTACAGTACCAATCTGAAAAAAAAAAAAAAAACTAAAATGGATCTACTCTGAATAATAGCAACTATCATTCATTGAGCATCTAATATTCCCGATCCCTACAACAACCTGCCTAGAAGATAGTAGTATTGTCCCCACATATACCTCAACTGAATCTCAGAGCCAGGCACGGACGTTGCCAAAAGCAAAAGGTTATAAGCAAAGAGTTTAGCTGGGATTTGAACCCAGGCCATTCTGATTGCAATGTCCCAACACCTTCCATGATATCATCACATTTCATGCCACTTCTAGCCTAGTTGATGAGAGCAACCCAAACCAATGTCTTGCTTTTCAAAGACTTATAATTAGCTACCCATCAGTATGTCTTCCCCTTCCCTTGCCCCACAAACATGTATGTTCCCTCAGCTGTTGTCCTGGGCTGCATACCTGCCTGATAATGGTGGATGGTAGTGATAAACAGTGCAGTAGATTCTGGATCACCTCTCCAGGTTTTGAACCTGGATCTGCCACTGCTGTGGAAATACCACAAACTCAAAATGGGCAATTTAGACTATGTAGTTTACTAATATTCTGTATACAGGAAGGAAACAGAAGGAGCCAGAGAGAAAACCATCTATGGACGGATATGACTTCCACCTCCATAGTACCTGCACATTATGAATGTTGCTCTTAAGAACTAGCCTAGTAACTTCAGGGAGACCCCAGGGTCTTTTTCAGAGAGCTGCCTCTCTTAGTGCTTAGAAGTCTCTTTCTTCAAGAACTGTTTCTGTGGTCTGAATGTTTGTCTCCCTCCAAAATTCATATGTTCATACCTAATCCCCAGTGTGATAGTCTTTGGGAGGTGATTAGGTCATAAGACAGAGCTCTTATCAATGGGATTAGTTCCCTTATAAAGGAGACCCCAGAGAGCTCCCTCGCCCCTTTCACCATGTGAAGACACAGTGAGAAGCCACCATCTATGAACCAGGAAACAGGCCCTCACCAGACACAGAACCTGCCAGCACCTTGATAGTAGACTTCCCAGCCTCTGGAACTGTGAGAAATAAACTTCTGTTGTTTATAAGCCACCCAGTCTAAGCCATTTTGTTATAGAAGCCTGAATCGATGAAGACCACTGCTTTTTTATTTTCCATGGATGCTGATTTCACATGCCACAGGGAAGACATGTGGCAGAATAAGCTGTGGCCCAGGAGAGCTTATGGAAAAGGTCTTATGTGACAGGGGTGGGAGGGAAGGAAGGACGGGAAGGTGTAGGGGAAGGGTAAGTGTGTCTGTCATTACCTCTTGCCAGCTGGGTGACTTTGGGCAAGTCACTTAACCACTCTGTGCCTGTTTCCTCATCTAGAAAGCAGGGCTAAAACTAAAGATTTAACTTCAGGGGATTGCTATGTGTTGTAAACAAATGCATCCTTTATTATTATTGATATGGCTTGGCTCTGTGTCCCCACCCAAATCTCACCTTGAATTGTAACAATTCTCATCTGTTGAGGGAGGGACCCGATGGGAGGTAATTGAATTGTGGGGGTGGGTCTTTCCCATGCTGTTCTCATGATAGTGAATAAGTCCCATGAGATCTGATAGTTTTACAAAGGGGAGTTCCCCTGCACATGCCCTCTTGCCTGCTGCCATGTAAGACATGACTTTGCTCATCCTTCGCGTTCTGCTATAATCGTGAGGCCTCCCCAGAGATGTGGAGCTGTGAGTCCATTAAATCTTTTTCCTTTATAAATTACCCAGTTTCCGGCATGTCTTTATTAGCAGCATGAGAATGAACTAATACAATTATCTATAACGTTCTATCTTGTGGAAGTCACTTACCTTGCTAACTTAAATGTGGGATAATATTTTATCTTGCCTCATTCACACAGACACGTTTCATGGTCATCTGCATGGTTTCTGCAGGTCCAGCTTTCTTATTTAAACAGTCAGATCTCATCCAAATTGGCATTAAACCCATTTCAACTCAGCACTCAGAGTGTAGAACAACAGCAGTTCTAAAAAGAAACAGAATTTATTTTCATCCTCATCACAATAGTACCTCACACTTCTGTCACTTACCGTAATTTTTAATTCTCTATTTGATTCTGAGCTTTGGAATATCTGGCTTTCTAGCTAATTGTCCCCCTGCCCCAACATGAAATATAATGCTTGGCACATATTAGGGTATTCCCTGAATGTTTTGTGAATGTGAAATCCTCTAATAAATGTCCATAAAAGCTCCAATTCTTGTCTAGAATATCACACAAGTACAAAATTCTATGCATGTTAGGAATCAGCTTCTGAATAAAATCTGAATTCCTTTGCTTACCCTACTAGGCACTTCATTAATTGTCCCCAACTGTCCTATTTTACCTCATCAGCACCCTGACTCTCACACCCCAGCTCCCAAGTCCCAGCCCTGCCAAACTCTATCATTCCCAGAACAGGTCATGCCCTTTTACAATTCTAAGACGTTGTAGTTGCTATTGCCTCTTCCTGAAAACATCTTTTCAAGCATAACCAACTCCTACCGCACCTTCAAAAACCCCATTTAGACAACTCAGTCTCAGGGATGTCTCTCCACTCCCGAAGGCAGCATCAATAGCACCCTCCTCTGGACTCCCTCAATACCCTGTCTAGCACACCCATCAAGAGGCCCGGCTGCAGTCATGCCAAGGGCCGATTACAACTTATAAACTTATATTTGCAACTTGTAAACTGTGAGACCTTGGGTGAGTATATGCGACCTCTCTGAAATTGTCTTTCGTCTGCTAACCAGCACTAATAGCAACCACCTCTGAGGGTTGCCATTGGAATTGTAAAGCGAATAGCAAATGCTCAAGAAATGGTAGACAATGTGATGCTTTCTAATACAGCACATGACCACATTGCAATTCACCTGTGTATACTCCTGCCTCTTCTGTAAAACCCTAGATGACACCAACAGGTTCTGCAATTTCTTATCCCTGGCAACTAGTACACTAACTGGCTCATAGCAGGTGCTTAAGTGCATCCTTGCAGAGTGCTTCTGTTCAGTCATGAATGAATACATCTGAGCTGTTTGATTCCCTAGAGTGCCCAGGCGGAGCGGGGTCCCCCTGCAATGGCAGGGGCAGTTGTGCTGAAGGCATGGAAGGAAATGGAACCTGTTCCTGCCAAGTAAGTTCAAAAATGTGTTCTTCCTCTCCTGGATTCTGTTCCCCATCTTCTTGCCTGTTGATCCTCCTGAAACACACACATGCGCACACACACGCACATATGTACACACACACATGTGCACACACACACAGCAAAGTTCTTAAAAGGTAGAGCTATTCATTTCTTTAAACTGTGCAATTTGCAACAAAATGGCCATTTAGAGCCTGGGGACCTTTAGGATAGTCAATTAACTGCTCAGTTGTAAGCATACCCACTTGTAAAAATGGGTTTGAAACAATATCTATGTAATCACATTTGTTGAAAAAGTGAAATACTATATGTGAAAATACTTTATGACACTATACAAGACTGTAGAAATTGCTGTCATTGTTAATATTAATAATCACTGTTAGCAGACGACCCTTAGGTGCTATCCTCTGCATCCTCTGTGAACTGCTAGTTTTAGCAGTTCAAGATTTTCTTTTAGCAGTTGAAGATTTTCTTCCTTATCTCATGAAAGTGACTTTTTGCAAGTTTCAAGCCCAATGGGGTTTAAAATGCAAAAAAAAAAAAAACCCTTTGGAAAAGGATTGAGCTCAACTGTCTTCAGAAATGCAAAACTGAGACGAGGCAGGTGGCTCATGCCTATAATCCCAGCACTTTGGGAGGCTGAGACGGGCAGTTCACTTGAGGTCAGGAGTTCGAGGCCAGGCTAGCCAACATGGTAAAACCCTGTCTCTACTAAAAATACAAAAATTAGCTGGATGCAGTGGTGTGTGCCTGTAATCCCAGCTACTTGGGAGGCTAAGGCAGGAGAACCCAGGAGGCAGAGGTTGCAGTGAGCTGAGATCATGCCACTGCACTTCAGCCTGGTCAATAGAGACTCAGTCTCCAAATAAAAAAAATTTAAAAAAAAGCAAAACTGAAAGGATTTTCCTTTCACTCTTGGTTGAAGTCAGGATATGGCTGCTAGCACTTGCTATTATCTAATTATATCTTTGGACTGACAAAGCAGCTTTCTCCTACAGAGCTTTAGACCCTTAGTAAAAAATGACACAGGGATTAATGTATGCATGATAACACAAATAAACAGAAAGAAGGAAAGGCACAGAGGGAAGAGATATTTGAGAAACAAATGCTGAGTTGGAAATTCAAAGCCCTCCTGGGTCCCATGTGTCACCTTGGGTCTAATGTCAGCCACCTGGGGTGTTTTGCAGAAAGGGTTTGGTGGAACAGCCTGTGAAACCTGTGCTGATGACAACTTATTTGGACCCAACTGTTCAGCAGGTATGTCTGATTTTTGTTTAATACCACATTTGTAAGGGCTGACAGTCCTTGGGAAAGATTGCTCCTTGATGAATAGTTACGTGTGACAAAAGAAAAACTTCAGCAGAAGTAAATTTAAAAGAGTTTAATTGAGCAATAAACGATTTGTGAATCAGGCAGTTCCCAGGATCACAGCAGATTCACAGAGACTCCAGTGAAGCCATGTGGTGGAAGAAGATTTATAGACAAAAAAAAGGGAAATGACATAGAGAAATCGGAAGTGAGGTACAGAACGGCTAGGTTGGTTACAGCTTGGCATTTTCCTTAATTGAACACAGTGTGAACATTCAGCAGTATATGAATGATTGAAGTATGGCTGCTGGGACTGGCCAAGACTCAGCTATTGTTACAGGTGCATACTACTAAGTTAGGTTTTCAATCTTGTCTACCTATTAAGCTAGGTTGCAGTTCGTCCTCAAGGACTCAAATATGCAAGTACAGAGTCCTTATCAAGCTATGATTAGTTCACTTTAACATGTGTAACCAATTCTACACAGGGAAAACGAAAAGTTAAAAACAAAGCTGTTAAATGCGGTCATTGGAAACAGAGATGGTGTTTCCTGCGGTTCTCAGCCCTAGCATGTGCAGTCAGCTATTCCCCAGAAATACTTCCAGGGATCCTCATGATTCCCTCTCCCAGGCTCTAGGATTCCACCACTGCCTGTTCCTTGCCTGCCCAGCTTTTCTCTGGGATCTTTCTGGATCCTGGTCTCAGTATAGCTCTTCAGGCTTCCAATTCTACCATGAGCCCCACCGAATTCTAATGGCTCCCTTCCTTTTGTGAGTTCACAAATAATTCCCTAAAGGGGTCAGAGATTGTTGCTCCACATTAAAGAAACAAGCTTGAGACTGGCTTGTTCACCCTCTTATTTTTGGCTGCCCCTAGAAATAGACTCTGAGATAGGGATTTGCATAACGAGTAGTTACTTTGTGTGAATGGTGATCCCAGGAAACACTAGGATGTGAGGAAATAATATAGGTAATAAAGGGGAAATAAACAGCATCTTATTAAGCCAGGTGCCACTGTGGACTGCTGGAGCCTGATGCCCTGGGGAGCTCAGGGGGTCTGTGCAGAACACACAGCTCAGTCATCTTACCCAAGGGGAGAGGGAGCCACAGCGTGGTAGGCAGAATAATGGCTCCCTGAAGATGTCCATATTCATATCCTAGCACCTGGGAATACGTTACCTTACATGGCAAAGATAAATTAAGGTAGCAAATAGAATTAAGGTTGCTAATCAGCTGACATTAAGATAAGAGGTTACCCTGGGTTATCTGGGAAGGCCCAGTGTTCATCACAAGAGTCCTTAAGGACGGAGAAGGGAGGCAGAAGAGGAGTGTCAGAGTTACGCGATATGAGAAAAACTCGATCAGCTCATTTCTGGCTTTGAAGAAGGAAAAGCCACCAGCCAAGGAATATGGGTGGCCTCTCACGGCTGAAAAAAGCAAGGAAACATGTTCTCCCCAGTCTCCAAAAAAGAGCACAAGGCTGCCAACACCTTGATTTTAGCACAGTGATTTTGGATTTCTGATCTTCAGAAATGTAAGACAATAACTTTGTGTTGTTTTAAGACACTATGTTTGCAGCAATGTGTTACAGCAGTGACTGGGAGTTAATACACATAGCCAAGTGGGGAGAGTTTTTCACTCCCTGCCACTTAGAGTGCGTAGGGAGCACCCAGGCTGAGCGCCCATCCTAAGGTTCACGCAAAACCCTCAGGCAAAGAGCTGTGGATACTGGAAGTTAGCTGGAAGGCTCACATTCGCAGTCAGTAAGGTCTAAAGAACGTGAGTGTGGTAGAAACGGTGGCTGCTAGATCCACATCTCCCAAAAGGGGATATATTGGGTAGCTTTTTGCCAACACCACTTGGGCTCTGACTTTCTTGGAAAAATTAAACTCAGTAGACGCTGCTTCACTTCAAATATTTTTTGCAAGTAAACCTATGCACACACAACACATCCCACCCCCACAAGTTTGCATGCTCTGTAATAAATTTGATCTGCAATTGCAGAGGTATTGCCTTGTTCTAATCCATAAGGTCTTCTTAGGCAGGTGCTGTGCTATCTTTATCTCTAGTACCTCTACCTGCTGCCTGCCTGGTAGACACTCACTACGCTGTTGTTGGATGAATAAATGAGTGAATGAGTATATGAATAGACGAATCAATGAATGAATTATCTAGTTTGCTCCAGTGATGTTCTCCTGATCCAGAAGCATGGTTTTAGAACCCAGGCTTTGGACTCAGACAAGGTTTCTAGGACTGCTAATCATGGAAATATAGATAAGTTTATGAAGTATGCTATCTGTGCCTTCATCTGTAAAGATAGAAATAATATTGAGCCACTGCACTCCAGCCTGGTGACAGAGTAAGACTCCATCTCAAAAAAGAAAGAAAGAAATAATATTGCCTGCTTTAGAGAGGATTTCATGAGATAACAAGAGCATAATAAATGTTACTATTATTATTACCTATGACTCCCTAGCATCTCCTAATCATAAATGTCTCTTCACCCACCATTCCATAAGAGATTATTTCATAAGGCTGTTAGCAAAAGCAAATTTAAAACAGATACTGTGGCTGGGCTCAGTGGCTCACGCCTGTGATCCCAGCACTTTGGGAGGCTAAGGCTGGATCCGTTGAGGTCAGGAGTTTGAGACCTGCCTGGCCAACATGGTGAAACCTCATCTCTACTAAAAATACAAAAATTTGCTGTGTGCGGTGGCACACACCTGTAATCCCAACTACTCGGGAGGCTGAGGCATGAGAATTACTTGAACCTGGGAGGCGGAGGTTGCAGTGAGCTGAGATCATGCCACTGCATTCCAGCCTGGGCAACAGAACAAGACTCCATCTCAAAAAAAAAAAAAAAAAAAAAAAACAGATATTGGTATCATGTGTTTTTAAAGTTAAACATTACATTAAAGGACAGCAACTAAAATGTAATTAGTCAACTGCATAGAAACAGCATGTCTCCTCCCAAATTTACCCTTCCCTGCCATTTAAGAATTTAAATCACATATGTTAAACAAATATTGAAATGGGAAGGAGTGAAGAAAGCATCTAGCATTGCTTAGTTCCTGAGAAAGCCGAGTAATTGCCTGGAGATGGCAAATTAGGAAGAAAATGACCCATGTTATCTCCAAGATGCTGGTGTTGGTTACTCGTGAGCACAGATGCACAGGGAAATTCCCAACTTTTTCAAATAAAGGAAGTAGCCCCCCCTCACACTTAGTGTCATGAAAAAAGGGTAAGTGAAGGGAGAAAGATGATTTCAACACCTAAATTTTTAAAAAGGAAAACTGGAAACTTAAACAGAGACCCAAAAGAAAAACCTCCAAGCTCTGGATTCCAATAGAACTTTCTGTGATGATGGAAATATTGTCGATTTGCGCTGTTCCACACAGTAGCCGCTAGACACACGTGCCCAATGAGCACCTGAAATGGGGCTAGAGCAACTGAGGAGCTAAATTTAAATTTTAGTTGCTATCACTTAATTCAAATTTAAATAGCCACATGTGGCCTGTGACTACCAAATTACATATCATATTTCTAGGACATTACAATTGAGAGAACAGGCTTTAAACTCAGCCTGGCAGCAGTTTGAAACAGTCCCTAATTGCTGTGTGACCCAGGGCAAGCTATTTAAATCCCCTAAGCCTTTCTCATCTATAAAACAGGAATCATAACATCGATTTCATGGGATTGACAACATAGCAAAGCTCTTTAGTAGTATGTCACAGCATTCAATCAATGGAAGTAAGTATTGAGGACAAAATAATTCAACAGCAAGCAAATCACTGATGAATGAATGGATGAACGAATGACTCAGTGACGCCTGGTCATTTCCCGCTGACAAGAACTGTGGAGACTGCAAACCTTTTCAGCCAGGCGTCCACTGGGTGCCAGTGTTGTATCATCCAGTGAGCTGTTGGTCCGGGGAGGTGGCCATTCTGCCTGTAAGTAGGACAGCTCTATTAGGTGCAGTTTATTTTTAACACTGGCTATAGTCTACTGCGGGAGCACTCTCCTACCAGATTGCTTGTTGGTTTGGAGATGATTTCGAGCTGCACCAGCCAAAGGTTTTCATCTCTGCTGCCAGTGCCCCAGCCTGCTCAGTGCCTCCTTCCCAGTTAGGCAGATTGCAAAGCCCACTTTCTCTAACATGATCCCCAGATCAATCCCACAACCATGTACTGTTAAGAAGAGTCACTAGCATTTGTTCAGCACCTGCTGCATGTCAGACCATGTGCAGAGGGGTTTCTTTGGATCCTCAGTGCAATGCTCCATAGGAGGTGAGGATTCTCCTTTTATGGAGGAAGAAGCAGAGAGGTTGCTCAAGGCCATGCAGCTATTATGGGGTCAGAGGCAGGA